CTGGATTTTTCAGCAGGGGTATGCCAGAGAATATGCAAAATTTTTCAAAATAAAAGACTTTTCAAAATAAAGGATCGTTTAGACTCAGATAATAAATAAAATGGAAATAATAATGGTTTCATGTGTGGCCCCGTACCAATTGATCCACAGACTGGTGGTTGAGGACCATTGAGCTACGGAATGAAATGAACTAAGGCAACATGATCATTCTAATTGTCCACTGCTAAGAGTTTTTTTAAATATGACCAGGCGCCCTTGTGGGCCGTGACCCCCTGTTGTGAACCGCTGCCTTAAGCATTTGTTTTGGATTGTCTCCCGAACAAACCACTGTTATACAATGACTTGCCTAATTACTCTAACTTTACCCTAATTAACCTAGTGAAGTCTTGAATGTCACTTTAAGCTGAATACTAGTGTCTTCAAGAATATCTAGTCAAATATTATGTGCTGTCATCATGACAAATATACAAGAAATCCGTTATTTAAATAAATAAAGGTGCCTCTATACCCACCCAAACCTCCTGTAAATGCCATCTTGCTAATTCTGCCAGAATTGCTTTAAAATGTTGTCAGAGAAATGTCAGAGGCAGACAAATAAAGAACAAAAATAAAGCAATTTCCTGCTTTTAAGGACAGAAAAGCGCATTGATCAAACACTTAGTATAATATGACATTTCTTGACACTTTAACAGTCTCTATGTTCCTCAGTGGAGAGAGAGAGATGCTTTTTGTTTGTTTTTTAGTGTATTTTTGAAGGTGTGTGTGTGTGTGTTCCAGCAGGTGATAACAGGTCATGTTAACCGGCAGATCCTTCACTTCTTGTTCTCTCGCCCTCTGGAAGAGACCCGTCCTATTGATTTGAATGGATAAAAGATCAAAGATGGACAGCCGGAGCGCCGGTGCTGTGTTTGCTTTTAAAAGCCCACCGATGAGATCGAAACAACCACACATTCTCACTTCACAGACGTCTCAGAAACTCAAAAATGGACAGTCTGGGGGAAAAAATGAAGAATAAAAACTCTGGAGCAGCTCAATCTTTTACAGATTTCCTGAACTGACTGATGAACAGTTCAAGACCAAATCAAGACCTTTTTTTTTTTGGGATCCAACAACTGGTTTAACCAGGAGATAATATAATAGTTACTGTAGAATGCATTTTAGGGACGACACGGTGTCTCAGTGGTTAGCACTGTGGCCTCACAGTAGGAAGGCTGCTGGTTCGAGTCCCGGCTGGGTCAGTTGGCATTTTTGTACGGAGTTTGCAAGTTCTCCCCGTGTTGTCGTGGGTTTCCTCCGTGTGCTCCGGTTTCCCCCTACAGTCCAAACACATTCGCTATAGGGGAAATGATGAACTAAATTGGCCATAGTGTATGAATGTGAGTATGAATGAGAGTGTTGGGTGTTTTCCAGCTCTGGGTTGCAGCTAGAAGGGCATCCACTTGATAGTGTTGGGTGTTTCCCAGTACTGGGTTGCAGCTAGAAGGGCATCCACTTGAGAGTGTTGGGTGTTTTCCAGCTCTGGGTTGCAGCTAGAAGGGCATCCACTTGATAGTGTTGGGTGTTTTCCAGTTCTGGGTTGCAGCTAGAAGGGCATCCACTTGATAGTGTTGGGTGTTTTCCAGTACTGGGTTGCAGCTAGAAGGGCATCCACTTGAGAGTGTTGGGTGTTTTCCAGCTCTGGGTTGCAGCTAGAAGGGCATCCACTTGATAGTGTTGGGTGTTTTCCAGTTCTGGGTTGCAGCTAGAAGGGCATCCCCTTGAGAGTGTTGGGTGTTTCCCAGTACTGGGTTGCAGCCAGAAGGGCATCCACTTGAGAGTGTTGGGTGTTTCCCAGTACTGGGTTGCAGCCAGAAGGGCATCCACTTGAGTGTTGGGTGTTTCCCAGTACTGGGTTGCAGCTAGAAGGGCATCCACTTGATAGTGTTGGGTGTTTTCCAGTACTGGGTTGCAGCTAGAAGGGCATCCACTTGAGAGTGTTGGGTGTTTCCCAGTACTGGGTTGCAGCCAGAAGGGCATCCACTTGAGAGTGTTGGGTGTTTCCCAGTACTGGGTTGCAGCTAGAAGGGCATCCACTTGATAGTGTTGGGTGTTTTCCAGTACTGGGTTGCAGCTAGAAGGGCATCCACTTGAGAGTGTTGGGTGTTTCCCAGTACTGGGTTGCAGCCAGAAGGGCATCCACTTGAGAGTGTTGGGTGTTTCCCAGTACTGGGTTGCAGCTAGAAGGGCATCCACTTGATAGTGTTGGGTGTTTTCCAGTACTGGGTTGCAGCTAGAAGGGCATCCACTTGAGAGTGTTGGGTGTTTCCCAGTACTGGGTTGCAGCTAGAAGGGCATCCACTGTGTAAAACATTTGCTGGGATAGTTGGCGGTTCATTCCGCTGTGATGACTCCTGATGAATAAAGAGTCTAAGTCGAAAGAAAATGATTTTTTTACAGTACCTTGCTGCAATGTCATTAACTATAAGTCTGGTTTATTCGTAAATACAAATTAAGAGCCTTTCATGTTGTATAGATAGAAATCACTGCTTTGTCCTTGTAAATAACATATAAAGTTAACTAAACTTTTGCCTAAAGGGTTTAGCGTGACTTGAGGCATAAGTTGATTGGTTGCTCCCTTGTGTGGACGGTCCAATGGCATTTTTAACTCGATTTTTTATTTTTTTTTTCAACTCAAGAAAAGCATGCGGCAAGAGAAAAAGAAAACCAAGTGGCAGATAGATAGATAGATAGATAGATAGATAGATAGATAGATAGATAGACAGACAGACAGACAGACAGACAGACAGACAGACAGACAGACAGACAGACAGACAGACAGACAGACAGACAGACAGATAGATAGATAGATAGATAGATAGATAGATAGAGACGGAGGGACAGACGGACGGACAGACTATAGATAGAGAATAAGTAATTAAGAAAAAGATGATGATGGATGGATGGATGGATGGATGGATGGATGGATGGATGGAATTAAGAAAGAAAGAAAGTAATACAACTACCACAAACAAATTTTGTCCCCACACAGTCTGATCATGAAATATTAAATAATAACGACACAAATAACAAAGCAAAGCACCAAAATAACATGGTTTTCTGGTTTATTTAACGTTTGTCTATTTATTTGTCCATTAGTTGCTTGTTTAAATTGTGATTTATGTATATTCATTTCTGTGCTTCAAACTTATTTAAAGTGGCACTACTGTTCCCCCATAAACAACATTATGAAGAAAGAAAGAAAGAAAGAAAGAAAGAAAGAAAGAAAGAAAGAAAGAAAGAAAGAAAGAAAGAAAGAAAGAAAGAAAGAAAGAAAAAGATTAGATCAGATGGATGAATGGATGAATGGATGGATGGATGGATGGATGGATGGATGGATTGATGGATGGATGGATGGATGGATGGATGGATGGATGGATGGATGGATTGATGGATGGATGGATGGATGGATGGATGGATGGATGGATGGATGGATGGATGGATTGATTGACCGACCGACCGACCGACTGACTAATTCCTGATTTCCAGCCAGCTCCAGATACAGTATTACATGTTTATATGTGGACTTTTCAAATCTGTTGAATTCATCCCTGCAGGATTATCCAGAGGGAAGTAGCTCTGTCTACAGTGTTGTTCTGTTGTTTATTTATTAACCTCTGGACAGTCAAGTTTAGTAGTAGACAGTAGTGTATCTCTGACCCTTCTACACAGTCAGAACTTGTGTTTTATCTCCGCCAGAATTGCCCAGTACTTGTGTATGTTTTTAGTTTGTCTGTGTTTTGACCCTGCGTCCCTTTGGGCCTGACCCTTCTGCATTTGGACGGGTTGTTGTTGTATATATATATATATATATATATATATGTATATATATATATATATATATATATATATATATATATATATATATATATATATATATATATATATATATATATATATATATATATATATATATATATATATATATATATATATATATATATATATATATATAT